ATAATGTAAACACCATTATTGGCCCACATCACAAAATCCATGAGAAAGGTTCAAATTTGAACACTGTGGGTACATTATTTTCAATTCTGTTTGTGAGTTTCTTCTGTATCTTTCTATCATTCAAGCATCAATGATTACATTTCAGAAAAAAAATCATTCATTTCAGCAATAGCATTATTGCTATATTCTAAAAAAAAAAGAAAAAAAAAGGAAAAATAAAAAAGAATCATAGTTAACAAAACCAGTATCCACAATAGTTGTTAAATATTGAGCATGGCTTGCTTCCCTGACTCAACTCAAAAAATGTTAAGTGACATACCAACTGTTTTTAAAAAATGTTTACAGAAATCATCAAATGAATGTGAATAGTAGTTGAGGAATGATGAAAAAGTGACGGCAATACAATGTGAGTGGATGTAAGAAAGAATGCACATGGAACTTGGCTGAGATTTGCAAATGCATGGGAAGTCTTTTCCTGTGGGCCTTGTCTGAACTTAACTAATACCAATAAAACACATAGCAACACAAGTCCCCTGACACCTGGAGGGTCACGCCTAGAAAGCTTACCTTCAAAGTGCAAATTTTAACAATGGAATGTTTTAGCAGGGATAGAAGGACAATCCTCTGTCTTTTTCTTGATTAAAAAAAAAAAGAAAGAAATAAGATGTTCAGAGAGTATTTTTTTCCTGGACACAGTTATTTCAGTTTCTTGGTAAAACAAAATGTATTTAGCCAAAATATCACCCACTCTTTCACATACACAGAACTACCCTTAGGGGTATAGGGGAGAGAAAAAGCCCTTACCTATGTATCACCTAATGCGACTTGTATTAGAACGGACGTCCTCTGAATCAACTACATTAAATACCAACATGTACCTCCCTTACCCCGCCCTCTCCACCCGCCTATCCCAAGCACCCCCAATGAACCCAGGTATTCTGACATCTTCGTGTTTCCTAAGCCTCATGACGAAGGCTGTCGAGTACCACCTTCACTGGAACAAAATGAACACCTCAGGTGCACTTCCTACAGCACCTTTTTCTTCTCCACAACTCAGTGGAATCTTGATGCTCGCAAGCCCGGATCTAGATCTCCAGGTCATCGGGCCGAGGTCGGCTGCTGGCGCGGCTGCTGGCTCGGCTGGCAGGCCGCTGGTCCACAATGGCTAGTGGCTGCAGTTCGTGTCCAGCAGCCAGCTTTTTAGAATTCTGGTTGTCATCGGGGAAGTCGAAAGGCTGTGCGTGGGAGTTGGAGATGGTGCTTCCCGCCTGCCCCATCCGATTTTGCTCTGCGCTGTAGTTAGCCCAGTTTTGCTCACTCGCTTGCTTGTTGTAATTGCGACAGGAAGAATTGTTTCTGTCTCCGGTAACCAGCTTGTACCCGGGAGGGGACATGGGCGAGAGGGGAGCGGTTGGCGAGGAGCAACCATTGAAGTAAGTGTATTTTGGAGAGCCACACTCTTTGGAGGGGCTCAGTGGGCCGGTGTTGGCGTGGTAAGGGTCGCTCTTCCCCTTCACGCGATCCTTCACGCCCTTGAAGAAGACGTAGAAGAGCTCGATGATGTTCAAAGCCAGAGACACCAGGGACACGACCAGCATGAAGATGATGAAGATGGTTTTCTCCGTGGGACGCGAGAGGAAGCAGTCCACCTGATGTGGGCAGGGGTCTCGTTTGCACGTGTAGACGGCGCTCAGGGTGAAGCCGTAGATGTACCACTGGATGAGCAGGAAGGCCACCTCGAAGACGGACTTGAAGAGGATGCTGATGATGTAGGTGCGCAGCAGGCCCCCGCGCATCTTCACCTTGCCGTGCTCCTCAATGCCGTACTTGAACTTCTTGATTTCGATCTGCTTCAGGTGCATCTCCACGTTCATGCCGTCGGTTTGGGCAACCTTGAGCTCCTCCTCCCTCTTGTTCAGCTTCTCTTCCTTGCGCATCACGTAGAACACGTGAGCCAGGTACAGGAGCGTGGGAACGGACACGAAGATGATCTGCAGGACCCAGAAGCGCACATGCGAGATGGGGAAGGACTTGTCGTAGCAGACGTTCTCGCAACCAGGCTGCTGGGTGTTACAGCGAAAGGCGGACTGCTCGTCCCCCCAGGCTGACTCCACCGCCGTTCCCAGCAGCAGGATTCGGAAGATGAACAGCACGGACAGCCACACCTTCCCTCCGGCTGTGGAGTAGGCCTGAACCTTGTCAAGGAGTTTGCCTAAGGCACTCCAGTCACCCATGTTGCCTGGGCGCCCTCTGAAAGGAAACAAAAATACAACTGAGTGATCATAGTTTAGTATAGTTTCTTTTAGCAAAGTATTGCAAAAGGTCTCAGATCTTTCTAGCAAAAAAAAAAAAAAAAAAAAAAAAAATCCACCAAAAGTAAACTCTTCCTGCCCCAGTTCCCTTGCCACTGCCCCCACCCCTGTCAAAAGGTGTTATCAGTTTCTTGATACAGTAAGACACAGAAGCAACAGAGCATATGTGCCAATTAAACAGCAATCTTAACCTGGGAAGCTGTAGTAGTTGCTCTTGCTCAACCACTGCCTCTGCATGTGGCTTCTGGAGCTGTCTGTCTGCTAAGTGCCTCTTATTTTATCCCTCGGATAAATGACGGTTCGGCCTGGTAGGCCTATATCTGGACGCCTGCCTAAGCAAAATGCTGATGTGTGTTATTCAAAAAGCCTGGTATCGCCTAGCTGGTGTGGCTCAGTGATTGAGCATTGACCTATGAACCAGGAGGTCACGGTCCAATTCCGGGTCAGGACATATATGCCCAGGTTGCAGGCAGGCTCAGATCCCCAGTGTGGGGCATGTAGGAAACAGCCCACCAATGATTCTCTCATCACTGATGTTTCTATCTCTCTCTCCCTCTCCTTTCCTCTCTGAAATATATAATTATATATATATTAAAGTCTGTATCTAAGAATTGAGGTGAGGACACCCATGAACACACATACACATGCAGATACTGACGTATGTAACCTGTTTCCAAACCTCAATCTTGTTATATAGCACTTTATTCCTAATTGTATTCTGCAATGTTTCTCTGGTATTTCAAGTGCAATCTGTGCATTCTATATAGTATGGTCATTTATATTTCTGTTTCATCCTAAGCAGTGACTTAATGTGGTTCAGAATTCTTTCTTCTGCCCAAATAAAATATGTTGTACTGAAATACACCATATTTTGACACAATGTGTCATTATATGCAGGAACCTACTTTCAAAAACAAAAACTAAATGCCCATTTCATTTCAAGTAAAAGTTCAACTTGTCTCCTTTCTAATTGTACCTTGGAAAATAAGAGACCACTTTCAAGTTTACCTCTAGCAAAAACAATTGGTTTTCATTTTCTTATTGCTCTATACTTACTTCAAGTTTCCTTACTGGGTTTTGGGCCTCTAAGCCTAAAATTGTCTCCATTCTTGGAGATGAGAAAAAGGCCCAAGTCTGTAGACATGGCAGATATCCCAAAAGTTGTTTATTTCACTTTATATGTCTAATTACCAATAACTCATTTAACTGATGAAAAATTGAGGTCTTAAGGGTACAGGAAATATTTAGCTATCCGTAGAGGCAGAAAAAGAGTTATGATCCCATGTTCAAGGCTTTCCAATGCATCACACTGGTTATAAAATTATAGTAAAGCTGGCTTACGGCTAGAAATGTTTCCATGCTTTGATATATACAACCTTGTTGAGGGCCAAAACTTGGGAAGAAATAAGTAACATCACATGTGGCACGCAGAGAGTATATAGTCTAATTTTCAGCAGAGAATAGTAATAGGAGGATTTAGAAAAGGATGAAGTAGTCAAAAGATTATTTAATAATTAAAAACAAGTGAAGCTAAGACTTTCCAGGAGCTTAGTAATAAATTTTAAATAGTGTAACTAAAAGTAGGATTATACAGGCTTTTTAGAATTATGCTCGTTATTTGAATATAGAGTTTCCTCATCTGGTATTGAACCACGAGCCGTTTCTCCTTGGAGGAAGTAATGAAATCCTTCTTCCCCACCATTCAACATTACGTTCCTATTAATGCTTGCACTTCCTGGCGATGGAGCCAGAAAAAAAATGAAATGGAAATCTTTTCCGTAATTTCCTGAATGAAGCGAAGAGATGGCTGATCCATAAAGTGAAACTAAGCACCAGCTATCTAAATTAACAGATGATGGGTATCTTCGAGGACAGCCTCCTCGAGACTGGTGCCAAAGAATGCTGGGGTAGGCGTGGGAGGTGACTGGGCAGGTCACAGGGATAATGCTCTCCCAGTGGTCATAAAATAGGGAGCATCCCTTCTACTTTTAGGAAGGACCATTTTAGATTCCGTGGTCACAAGTTGGACAGTAAAATTGATGTGTGAAAAGAACAGTCAAACAAGAACAAAGGATTGTAGAGTTGACAAAGAGGGTTAAATCACCTCGGGAAGGCTTGAAGTATGAGAGAGTAATTTAGCTTTGATGGACGGTTTGAAGGTGAGAGAATGTAAAAGGAAGAAAACAAAAACAAAAAACCTACAATGTAGCAGAAAATACTACATGGAGAATGAAGAAGAACAGCCCATGAGGGTCAAACAAACAACAGAATTTTTGGAGCTATATCAATAGACAGTTTCTATGTGATGATGTGTAAATTGGCCCTAATTCTGTCTGTAGAGAATAACAATATTTTGCCAGTGTCATCTGCTTTTGCTCAGATATCCCAATTGTGGTGAGGGGTGGAAGTAGGGAACTACAGAAACAGATAGAATGGTAAATTGTTTGCATACATATCACATTTACACAATGATCGTGTCCATGACAAGCTTAACATATTTAGACATGTGACCAGGCACATCGAGAAGTTGTCATTTCAGTCGATGTTTGATCATTATTCAAAGTAAAATAGGATTGTATAGATGCTTGTGGCAATTAACTACATTTTTTTTTTACCATATATTCAAAATAAAACTTGACTTTCGTGTGCTTTTGAGATGCCACAGCAACACCCCATCCTCCCACAGTACGTGCATTAGGTCATTGGGTAAATCTCTAGGGGGTAGTCCTTCATTAATACACCAACAACTTAATTGCAAAGTTGTCTTTCCTTTAAGCACCCACGCAGTTTTCATTTGCATTAATGAGGTATATACTCTTTCATCTGAATAAGAGGAATTATCCAATTGGACACCTAGAATCCTGTAACACGTAGATACCTGTCATTACCACTATCATAGAGATCATCAGATTATGTTTAATGTGATGGCTTTATGTCAGTGATTCTCAAGGAGAGGTAACAAAAATAGTAGGAACCTGTTTTGGTAGTTGTTCATTTTGTCGTGAACCAAAAGTTCTGTCAAAGGATTGCCTCCCCCCATTAATATTTTCATTTTTTTTCAAGTTTTAGTTGAAAAATTGATGTACTTTATGAGGGCATAATTACATGTCTAGAATCCCTGGCACTGATTTATAGACTATATGCCTCATTCATATTCACCAAGATACAGGTATATTCCTTGTTTGCCATGTGGGAAACCTCGGCAGCTAAATGAACACGATGTGAGTTTACACCTTCTCCTCTAGGTTCCATAGTTGGAACTTCTTATGTAGATGAAGGTCTAGGTTAAGGAGTTGTGCAAAGTCCTCATTGGGAGTCAGTGCTTGCCAGCAGCTGGACCGGCCTTCCCTTCATGTGCCTTCTTTGTACTGTGTTAGAGCACCCTCCCTGTGTGATCCAGACTACAGGCCAAAAGTCACAGGCACCCACATGCGAACTGCCCAAGGCCCCGCTGGTCCCTTTACAGTGTGGTGTTTGGACTACATTACCATCACTTGGCAGCATTTGTTAAAAGCATACATTCCTGGCACTCACCAGTCTGAATGAATCTGATTTTGGGGAGGTGCGAGGGACTGGAAAATCAGTTTTTTGTTTCTTTTCTTTTTAATATATTTTTATTGAATTCAGAGAGGAAGGGAGAGATAGAAACATCAATGGCGAGAGAGAATCATTGATTGCCTGCCTCCTGCACGCGCCGCACTGGAGATTGAGCCCGCAACCCGGGCATGTGCCCTGACCAGGAATCGAACCGTGACCTCCTGGCCCATTAGTCGATGCTCAACCACTAAGCCACGCTGGCTGGACTTTTGTTTCTTTTCTTAAAACAAACAAACAAACAAACACACTAGGTGATTCTGAAGTAAGGTTTGAGGCTAGGAAACAAATAATGGTTCAAAATATCCAGGAGAGCAGAGGGATAGACAGTGTCTAAGAAGGTTGGGGGGTGGGGTAGGGGCACAGCAGAGGAGCAGGGCCTCTCTGGACACCTGGGAACTGAGCTCACGCACCCTTTCGCCCCCCTTCCCCCCCCCCCCCCCCCCCCGAGTCAGTGTCACCACCAACTCCTGCTGCTCCCCAGGAGCACAAGGGCTGAAATACTTTACTAAAAATGAAATTAAAGCTTCCATTTAAATTAAATTTAAATGACTATCTCGTTTACCAGAACCTTAAGAACAAATCACTGTGCCAAGGCTGCAGTCCAGTCGCTTCGCCTCATTAATGTCCCAATAATTACTAGAATTAGAAAATATCTTCCTTTCAATTTTAAAGACTTTCCCAAGAAGAGACAACTGTAGTGAACTGAGAGTGGGGACTTAAACACTTAGGGGAGGTGAAGGCCATTAATATTTGAAAGAATAAAATCATGAAATCTAAAAATGCATAAGGAAATGTCTATGGAAGTTCCTGACAAAATCATTTAATGGATTTCTTGGGTGGGGGGTGGGGGGGTGGAGGGGTGTGGTGGTGGTGGTGGTGGTGGTGGCATGTGTGTGTTTTTAATGCACCCAAAACCAAAAAGTTTCAAGCCCCAAAGCTAAAATGCAAACCCCTGCACTTTGCAGTCAATGATGAGTGGGCTCAGTTTTGACCATTCCTCCACAGTTACAACATCCAGATGTTCTTCTGGTAATATTCATACCCACACATAATCACCATTGCCCATTTTCAACCCATCAGCAAATACTACAGATTTATCTTCCCTACCAAAACCCAGACTAGGGCTGTCACCACCACTCCTGCTCTTAGCCTGGTCAACTTGCCAACCTGTTCTCCTCAAACAGTCAATCTTGAAAAAATAAACAAAGGCGCGGATCTGCCTCCATCAGCTCTGCCCCATCTGCATGGCTCACTTGAGGTCTCGGCTCTGGTTACACCTCAGCAGCCATCAATCCAGCCCTGTCACTTCCTATTCCCCTTGTCCAGCTTTTTTTCCTTAATGGCCTTTAGCTCTATTTGACATGTTATGTATTTACCTGTTCCTTGTTTGTCTCCCTCCATTACAAGCTTTTACTATCTGCTTTTCTCCACTACAATATGAGCTCCATGTGGGAGTTTGTTTTGTCTAGTATATCCAGTGCTTAAAAGAATAAGAGTAATAGATAAATAAATATCTATTGAGTGAGTTAAATGGGGCCTGTATCCAAAAAACAAAGAAAAAAACCACCAAAATCCCCCAAAAAACAGGTATCACCAGGTTTGTTTGTTTTTTATATCCTTGGGATTTTCTTAATTGTATGTGTCCCAAATTTCTTAAGTTTCAAAAAGGGAACTTTCACAGTAATAAAAAAAAGTATTGTAAGCATCTCATATTAGTCAAACTATTAAATTTCCAAGTGCCAATTGCTGAAACAGAACTGTCTTGTTTGTTGAAACGTGTTTCCAATACTTCGTGAGCAGGCAATAGGACTGAGCCGGGGTCCTTGTGACCTGGGATGCCTGCAGAACTGCAACATGTATCCCAGATGTTTATTCAGTTTCGCTGTTGGTTGTTGCAGGTTAAGATCTAAAAATAACAACAAAACCATGTTGTTTGTCCCCCACTTCCATAGTATTCTAAGTCTGGTTGTACCACATGATTTTATTGTCATTGAGGACGCAACTGCAAGAAGAAATAGCCTGTTTATACCTGTGTTGATTTCAAGATGACAAATATTGGGCGAAGTTTGGGGTCGGAAGAGGAACAAGACCTGATGTCCACCCTTGTAAATATAATAACATCACTACAGAGTCTCAGTCTATGCAGGAGCCATGGAATGTGTCAGGTGCCATGGAAAATATTCCCAGTTTGTCAGAAAATACACAACCTTTGCTTCCTTCTATCTGGACAGTGAGCCTAACTTTGCAGTGTATCAAATTCCATGTACTAGTAAACATCTATTCAATGAAAATTCCTGTCTCTGGCTCCCTGATTCTCCTTATATTTTCTTTGTAACATTTCCACAGGTATTTGTGCATGGCTTTGAACTGCATAAAATTTTTTTGTGGGGGGTGAAAAACATCAACAAGAGCTTCTTTCCTTGGCTCTCACCCCTCTTCACCGCATAGTCAACCTACATGGGCCTCCACAGAACAATGAGATGGGGGTTAGGGGTGAGGAACTCCATCCAAAGGGCGGGTGATGGCTGCCAAACAGGGACAATTCAGTCCCCTGCAACAGCTCTCACCCAGCTTCCCCATGAACACAAGTTTCTCTCCCACTTCAGGGGTGCTGGACAGGTTAAAGGCCGCGGTCTTCTATTATAGCGTCAGATTTAAAAACACTTTTCTCAGCCCTTGATGTTTACTCCCGACCCTCACCTCCAAATTTTTACTGAAAAGCCTGATTGTTTTATCTTCATATAAACATACCCCAGTAAGACCCTTACAGTGTATTAAGACCAATCTATTTTCTTCAATGAACACTGAATGAGCTACCTCATGCAAATGAAGCTCTAAATAAGAACTCAGTAGAGTTAAGCTATTACTCTTTAGCTGTAATTACAGCTCATTTGTTTTCTAATTTGGCATCTTTTCTTTAACAAAATAACAACTAAGAAATGATTAACATTTTCCTAATGGTAACCAAAATTAACTAGTTTTCAAGGTGCTCTTGTAATGAGTAGAATGTTGCTATTTTAGCAATCCCTTTATGAGAATTTGCTCTTTATCAATTGATAGGGAGAAAGGCCATGAAGAATATCTGCCTTCCTTGTGGGGACATCTCCCCCAAAATCATAAAAAAAAAGTCCTACCTTACAGAATGTATCTGGCCCACAGAAGTTGATAAAAAGAACACTAGCTCTGAAGAATTGTTTCTAACATGACTTATCTATACTGAGTATTGACATAATAACACAAGATAACTGCTGTTCTTTCCAGAGCTGATTGGTAAGCGTGGACAAGCTCCCACAATCTGCTCAAACAGCTGAGAATCTTGAGGGGAAGTCGGAACAACAGGAAAGGTGGAGTAGAAGGTATTAATCACTGGTCACTTTCCTATTATTTCCTCCCCCTCACCACCCCCCAACACATGTAACATATATAAAGTTCCTGAGGCTCACACCCAGGGACACTTCTGGATAACAGAAGTGAAACGGAGGAATGCACTGTTATCCTGAGTTTTCCATCCTTCTCTATGCAGGAATTGGAAACATTTAAGTAACAAGGCACCTAACTGTCGGTATCTGAAAACACACCCTTTTAGATCTTTGCTGCTGAGTATCTCTGGAACCCGGTTTCCCAGGGAGAGCCAGGCACGCAGACAGCACATGGTGAAGGGCGAGGGGCTGAGTGTGTGGAGGTCTGAGCTGATCAACCTTAAACTCCCCTTCCCAACCTCCCTCACGCGTAAGGGCATTAGGAAAACCTGGAGTGTTTACACAGGGGGGAGAGCAAGAGCAAAGCACTGCCGCTGCACTTTCCAGGTGAGAAATACACCCCGACTTGGGGAACTACACGGCATCTCATGTCGGGGGAACATGCTTCCGTGGTCCAGGACTCAGCACATGCCGGACAGAAGATGCTTCCTGCCGCTAGAGTCACTTCCCCTCACTCGGGCCTACCCAGAGGATTCATTCCTCTTCCCTGAGGTGTTTCCGATCTTAACCGGCTTCTTTCCCTGGGGATGGAGTTAATTTAATGAGATCTCCGCATGAGGACAGGCGTTTACCCTCACTAGTCCTTATACAAGAGATGAGGCTTCCCTAAAAATATACAAATTTTTTAAAAAAATCTCATAATCTCTTTTTTTCACTTGCGGGGGGGGGGGCGCACTTTTGACTGGGTTCAAGTTTGCCCCCTTTTCCAGAAGGTGCAATGAAGCATCTCCTCATGACTAACCTGGTGTGGGAAGCAAAGGGAATTGAGCCCACCTCCAAATAAAGCCATGCCTGCATTGCCCAGCCTATGGCTCCCTCTCCCCACCCCTTCTCTGCCGGCCAGAGGAGCACCGGGGCGCCTGACGTGTGAGGGGGGTTGGGAAGGGGAGTTTAAGGATAACTTTGTCAGAGATGCTCAGTGAACATGTGGACGGCTAACGAGGGGCACAGTGTGGGGGCCCCGCTGCTCGGAACTCGAGGGTTGATTTCCGAATCCTGTGCCCATCAGTGTTTGGACACGTCATTAGCTCTTACCTAATTTCATTATGCCCCCCCCCCGCCCCCTCGCTTCCGTGCCCTACCGACATTCTTGGGAAGCTCTGAGGACTTCCAGGAGAGTTACAAGTGCCATTTCAGCGCGGCCATCCCCAAGGCACTCCGATTTCCTGACCCACGCGTAGCCGGTAGGAATTCACAGGAGGAAACACAAAAACCCAAACCCACGGCGGATGCGGGACAGAGGTTACCTGGGCTCGCCTCGTTACACTGATCACTCGCTCTTCCTTTACAACTTGGCCCGCAGTTCCATCCCCGATCTCCCCCCCGCCCCAGCCCCCCGCCCTTCCTCTTCGGGGGCGGAACTCGCCCGCGCTGGGGGTTTGACGTGTAAG